TGATCCTGAGAACCAATCCAGCTGTGATTCCCATTGAGTGTCACTACCCCAGGTGAGAGTCTGAGATGCTCAGATCCCCTCCCTCCCCTTCTGGAATCTGGCTCAGTGACTGAGGTTTGCTCCTCCTCCCAGGAAGGACAATGTGAGCAGTAAAGCCATCAAGCCAACATGGGTTCCCTTCAGCTCCACCCTGTCTGCTGAGGAGAGGCTGGATTTCTCCCTGCACCTGATGAATGGTAGGTGGGAGGAGCCTTCAGGGGAGCCCAGCCCTGCCTGCCTGTCTGTCCTGCTCACTGTCAACTTGCCTTGCAGATGACTGGAGTGCTGAGAGACCCTCCAATGGATTCCAGCTGGGGGAGGTCATGCATATCCAAGCTGATGTCAGCACTGGGAACCATGTGGCTTTGAGGCTCTTTGTGGACAGCTGTGTGGCCACCCTGAGCCCAGACAGGGACTCCTCTCCCCGCTATGCTGTCATTGACTTCAATGGGTAAGAGCTGGGAGCCCTTTCTAGACTAAAACAAGAGTGATCAGGGACTCTTACTGACCCTTGATTCTTGTGTGTAGGTGCCTGGTGGATGGGAGATCAGATGACACCACCTCGGCCTTCATATCCCCCAGGCCCAGGCAGGACACACTGCAGTTCATGGTGGATGTGTTCAGGTTTGCAGGAGATGCCAGGAACTTGGTGAGAGCCCACATTTCTGCTCCAAGTCGATTTCCCCAGGCTAAGCAGCTGTTAGGGTCCCCTGGGATGGTCCTAACCCCTCTTCCCACTTCCCTTCCAGATCTACATCACCTGTCATCTGAAAGTCACTGCAGCTGAGCAAGCCCCAGATCCCTTGAACAAGGCTTGTTCCTTCAACAAAGCAGGCAACATGTGAGTAGCCTAGAACCCCATCAGGGGAGTGACAGGCAGCCTAGAACAGAACTCTTCACTGTAGATGACTGTTCCTGTTCTGTTCCAGCTGGTCTCCAGTGGAAGGCATCCGAGACATCTGCAGGTGCTGTGAGACTGGGAACTGCGCAGTCCTTGGAGGACAGTCTGGGAGAGGCAGCCCTCTGGACAGATGGTCAGGGAGGCGCTTCCAGAGAGATGTGGCCTCCAGGCATGGTAGGTTCTGTGCCCACTTCACCTGGGAAGATGTCTGGCTTACTCCAACAGACTGTTCCTGGGGGATCTTCCACCCAAAATGGGATGGATTGGTTTTCTAGTAGTGCTTCTCTCCCAATTCAGGTGAGCCCTTGGTGAGGGAAGCTGAGGCTGATGTTGTGGTAGGACCCATAATCATCTTGGATACTGATCAAGGATCAAGGGATCTCTCAGTTGCTCAAATGGAAGCAGAGAAGGCAGCATCAGAGGGTAACTAGTTCTAATGAACAAGTCTCATGGTGCCTCTACTGTCACTTATTAATCTACATTAGGTTTGCTGGGAAAAGATGCTCTAAAAGATGGAAGAAATGAGTCTTACAAAGTCAGTTGTAAGAATCCCTTAGTCCAAGGAGGGAGTGTTAATAATGAGTCGTCAAGACTCAAGAAGGGCTCCTTGTTGAGAGGGTCCAACCAGAGCCAGTCACATAGGACTGTTGGCCACTGTAGCCTGGGCTTATCTGCTGGGACGCCAGTTGTGTGACCTGAGACCTGCAACCTATTATCTAGTGGGATTTATAAAGAGGTGCTGATCTCCTGCTCCAGCCACTTCTAGTAGACATACTCCAATATGTATGGCTATAAAACACTTCAAAAAACACAGCCCTACAATACAGCTCAAATAAAAAATCCCCCATTTTATTAACTGTGGCCTTCACTCATGTACCCAGCAAGTCCCTGGTAGATTTTTGGAGAGGTTGCTGGAGAAGCAACTAGCTGCAGTTTTAACCATGTGTTCTTCCTCTTGTAGGATTCTCTTCTACAGCTGGTCTGATCTCAGTGGCAGCGGCCATGGCACTGGCCTTTATTACTCTGGGGATACTCGTATACAGAAGATGCAGCCATTCCAGTGCCTGAGAAGTCACATGCCTTTTACCTTCTGTCCACTGTAAATAAACCCCAATGACTTGATTCTGGTCTGTGACGTATGAATGGGCAAGGGAGATGCCTTCCCTTCTGTGGGGAAGGAAATGGTGTGGTTGATGCACCAACCACATTATGGACACACCCATGGGGCTGCATGGGGAGAGATCATGTGAGGGTGAAGAAAGCAGAGATTGCTGCCTTCAGGTTCCCAGAGGCAAATGGCAGGGGGATTTCCCTCCATCTGAACTGTCCATCTGGCACCTGTAACCATTACAGGGCTCTTGCAGTAGAGAGAACACAAATCCCCCAGCCACTGGGCCCTCTGAGTGAAACAGATGCCATGAGGGAGTTCCTACTGACTCCATGACTGGCTTTAGGTGATGCTCTAGGGCAAGGGGTTTTAAACTTCATTGCACTGCAATCCCCGTTCTCCAACTACTGCCCTGGTCTAGGGGGTCAAACCCCCAGGGCTTACCCTGGGGAGCAGGGGCTGTAACCTAAGCCCCACTGCCTAGGGCAAAAGACTGAGATCTGCCAAACAGGGCTGAAGCCCTTGTGCTTTGCTCCTGGGCACTGGGGCTCAGTCGGCAACTTTACTTTGAGCTAGTCTAACATAGCCTTGGCAAACCCATTAAAATGGGGTGGTGACCCACTTTGGGATCCTAACCTGCAGTTTAAGAACTGCTGCTCTAGGGTAACTACTCACCTTGGAGAAGGATCGGGGCACTTTAGACAAATTGTTCTCACCATGACTGAAATCATGGCTGGGGTGAACTCTTTAGGCTCAGGCTAGTTAGTTCTGCAGGCTAGCCCTGTTCTCTTGCCACCAGGCCTAGGCAGAAAGTGTCTTAAAAAAAACTTTCCGGTTTCTGTGCCCTTACCTGCAGTGTAGTGAGGCCTGTACAACAATGATCATGCAGCCTCTACTCAAACCCAAGTGTAAAGGGCTCTATCTAGTTCTCTACAGTGGTAGAGACAACACAGCCAACCCTGCTATAGGACAGGATGTCACTTCTTCAACATCTGCCCTTTAGCTGTGTGGGGAACAGATCCAAGACCAGGGTCGCACAAATAAACATCCTCAGCAGGCCAGAGGAGAGCAAAGGGAGCAGCATCGTGTATGTTCCCAGAACAAGCTCTCTGCCAGAGTGGTTATTCACCCTCTCCCCTGTGATGCTGCAGTGGGGCAGGAGCAGCCTCTCTTTCCTCCAACACATGCAGCTCTCTGAGCAGTGGCCCTTGGAGGCTTGCTGTGCACCTGCAAGTGGAAGGGACTCTGAGCGAGTAAGGTCCTGACAGGGACTGTCTAAGGTCAGAGCGCCTCATCTACAGTGTCCAATGACTCCCCCAATGCCCTGGGAGGTAGGGGAATGCTGACCACCTTTCATACAAGGGGGGAAAAGACAGGGTTATTAAGTGAGGTTGCCCAGGAAGGCTTTGGCACAATGTGGAATTTAACCTTGGTCTCTTGCATGCTCATGGTGGTGTCTCAACCATCAGACCATTTCTCTCAATGCTTTTCAGCCCATATTCCCAAAGTCCCTCTGTTCTTGTCCCCTCTGACTAGCTGAGATCCAGCCCTCAAGCCGTAGCTACATTTCCCCCTGCCTCTGACACAACTCCAGCCCTTCCTCTAAAATATGGGTCCTCTAGTTGGGAAGCTCCAAGACCCTGACATCCTTCAAATCCCCCTCCTTTCTCTGCACTCAGCTTGTTTCTCTCCCTCCCAAATATTGTTGGCTGTATCTAGACAAACAGCAGGAATCATTCCTGTCCTCATTTCACAGAGGAGACTCTAAGGTTCAGTGCTGCTAAGCCAAAATTAGTGGCCGGCTCCCAAACTAAGAGGAGTTGGTGCTGCATGAGGGGCGTGGATTCAATGCCTGGAGGTACTGCAGCTGGTAGAGCTGTCAGGCCCTGACCTGCCAGTTTTCTGGCTTTCTCGGGTGCCTTGAAGAGGGGATGCAAAATCTGATTTTTAAATAGAAATTTTGCTACAACCTTCACTAAACTGGGAAAAGAGCAATTCCATCATGTGGAGCCAAAATTACACCCCTAGGACTCACCTGGTTTGGACACAGTCCTCTGCCCCTTGACCTAACCTTTCTGTCAGTGGGCTTCACAGCTGCTTGGCAGAGAATCAGGATTCCTGGGTTCTCGACCCAGCTGTGGGAGGAGACTGTGGTCTCGTGCTTAGCACAGGGAAGGTAACCGACCACATTCACTCCATGCATTCATTCATTCATGCACGGCTGTGACTGGGGTCATCTGGAGAGACCTGGGTTTTATTTCTAGCTTACCCAGGGAGAACTTGATGTAACCTCTCAGTTAGCTTAGCTCTAAGATGCCGGAGCATGAGAGCTGCCTTGCCCTAGTATAGGGCAATGAAGCCTTAATCAGTTATTAGTGGTGCAGGAACAAATACGTATTAAGAGCTGTCAGTGGAATGGACCAGTTGCATGCCATCCCATGGGCTCCCCACAGGTATGGTGTTGAGAACAAGTGTCTGTCTCCCTCTGGGCACACTGTCATTCCATGCAGGGCTCGCAGCAGTCCCATTCGTTGCTCCATCAAACCAGAGATAAAGTTGAATAACTTCATATGGACTAGCTTTTGGAGCTTGCCCCTGGTGCAGGCCACTAGATTCCCACAGGGGTACCTCTGCCCCAAGAATCTCATGATGCCAACTGACAGAGGGTACTGGGAGACACCGGGGCACAGGGACCCCCTGGGTTCACCAAAAGAATGTCATGTAAGGTCTCGAATGAAGCCCCGGGTCACACAGGTCATCATAACCTTTGTGAGATGTAGGTATGGGAAGTATGCAAGGAGCACTGAAAATTACAATCTGTAGGCCTTGTAGATGAAGCAGGCCTCTCAAAGGTAGTGCATCTTGAGACAAACTCCTCCAGCCAGCTAATGAGGAGCTGGCAGAGACTTCAGAAAGAAACTAACAGGATGAAGTCAACATTGGAGGGGAACCCTAGCTAGAGGTAAACATCAAAGGTGCATTCTGGTGTATTTGAGGAGCAAAAAGACACCCCCGACCTCAGGTGCCTAGGAAGTAAACTGACAGCGAGTTGGTGTCATGAAAAAGGAGTCTCAGCCAGGCTTAGCTGAAAATGCTGGAGAGAACTTCGGTGAGAGACACTTTTCGAGACTGGAGGATAACTTGTTAGTTAAGCGTAGGCTCCAGAACACGAGTTATGATTTTGTTTCACAGCTAGCCGTTTGTTTCCAGCTCTCACACCATTTTTATGTGACTATTCTGTCTTAAATAAATCTCCTTTTGCTCTAGAATTCGGCTGAAGCGTTGTGTGTGATACAAGAGCGGTGAGCTAACGCCAAACTGGTAAAGGGGGACACCCTGTCCTTTAGCAACAGAAGGTCTGGGATTTCTGTGGATCTCCAGTGATCAGGGCTGGATCCCACTTTGAAGGGACTTGAAGCCTGGGGCGCATTGATTGTCAACCTGCCAGGCAAAACACAGGGCTGGGCTATCTCAGAGAAGAATGCTTGAGGCGCTGATGGGCTGGTTGCATTGGGGAGCTAACACCCAGCTGGCACAGGCAAGGCTCCTTCATACAGGAGGCTGGTGGCAACTAGGTTGCCGCACAGCCCTGGCTACCCTGAGAAGTGTCACAGTCCCTGTCCCAGGAATCTCAGTTTCACATGGATCCTCCCCCCAGGACAGGCCCTCTCTTGGCTTTGAGAAACAAACCATTCTGGGGGAGGGGAAATATAGGGGCAGATGTGGGTACACGTTGGGGAAAACAATTCAACCCAGCAAACTCCACCCCAACCCTGGAAGGAGAACACCAGTTCTGGAACTCATCTGACGAGTTATGCGGATATTAGAGAGGAC